ATGAAGAAGTTAGGAAGTCATAAACCATATAAGCATTTCCCAATTCTGGAAGACTTTAAATGAATAAAGAAGAGTAAATTCCCATTTCTACTGTTGGTGTTAACTTGCTTTTGTAACTTCTCTGATACTAATTAATTCATTTGACAAATGCTATTGAGTAAGTGCATGAACCAGGACCTGTTCTAGGTGCTGGTGACTCATAAATCAACAAAACATAGTTCCTGTCCTTACAGAGTTTCATTGGGTGGAGGGTAGAGACTAATAATAAACAAGTAGCATCTGAGTGATGCTCCTGTTCTGCTTCCAAAGTAGTCAAGAGAAGCTAGAGGAGAGTAACCCTATTACCCTATTGTTCCTAAGGGAGTTATGGAGTGGAGTACATAACAACTTCCTGTTTGGTGGCTTTCCCTTTTTTTGGCCTCTGATGCTGTCTTCCTAACCATTTTGCCCATTAGTGTAAAACTCTGCATTATTATGGGCATGGTATAATAGATTCTTTTTATTTTCATGAAGATTATAGCTGAAGGTTTTCTCAGTGTGCCATGTTCACAAAGTCACTGGAGTACATCTGAAGAATTACAGCCCATCAGACCATACGTGATAAGTGGAGGATAACAAAGGTTTGCTGCAGTGGTGATGGTAGGCATTTTGCTAGACTCTCTCAAAACTCATCTCATAGACCATGGGCTTCAAATATATTGCCTTATCAAACTTAAAATTGTCTCATGTCATGGACCTTTGGGGTTGCTTAGGAGTAATTGGAATCAAAATATTAAATTCTTAACTACCAAGGGTCGTATGCCTTATATATATTCAGTACCTGAAAGTGTAACTGCATCATGAGCATCAGCACAGCCCCTGAGGTGAGAAAGAAGTAAATAAGGGAGAGAGAATAACTTCAAGTATGAAGCCACAAGATACAGAATCAAACACATGAACAAAAGAATAGCTTTTTAAATTTGCTAAGCACTACTATCAAAGTATGGAGTCCTGGTGGTGCAGCGGTTAAGAGCTACGGCTGCTAACCAAAAGGCCGACAGTTCAAACAGCCAGCTGCTCTGCAGGAGAAATATGTGGCAGTCTGCCTCCGTAAAGATTTATAGCCTTGCAAACCCTATCAGGCAATTCTACTCTGTCCTTAGGGTCACTATGAGTTGGAATTGACTTGATGACAACGGGTTTGGTTTTTTGGTTTGGTACTACCAACGTGTAGAGTATAAATTCCTAGATTTTTTTAAAGAGCTTGGAAGTAGCAGTAGACTTGAGCCTAATCTCTGAAAGGAAGGAAAGAGACTAAATTATAGAGATCTTACTTATTCCTCTTTCTTTTAAAATAATGAATGTAATATTTAGAACTCAAAAGAATGTAGGACCTCAGTTTTGAAGCCAGTGTACACATTATTTACAGGGAAACTGTTTGAGGACTTTGTAAATAGAAGTGGGAATCGTTGGGTACATCAACATTTAAGGATTAAGTCTAGTAGAAGCCCATGAAAGACGAAGAAGGAGCAGGCAGAGAGAGATGTAGTTTAGTTTATTATTTCACAAGAGTAAAATGTTTAATTTTTTTTTTTTTGTCATTGGATTCACATTGGGGAGTATGAAAAATATACCATTGTCTGGGTCCCACCATCATGTTGTTGTTAGTTCCCTTTAAGTTGACCCCATGTATTACAGAATGAACCATTGCCCATTCCTGCACCATCTTCATGAGCGTTGGTGTGTTTGAGTCCATTGTTGCAGAATTATGTCAATCCATCTCACTGAGGGTTTCCCTCATTTTCATTAGCTGTCTGCATTACCACTATCATAGAATGTCATTTAATTGATCTGAGGTGAGACTTGAGTTCTAATCTTTTCTTAAACGCTTCCCAGGTTATTTTAATACACAGTCAGGGTAAAGAACCACTAGACTAGAAGTTTGTTATTTTTAGCAGAGCAGTGATAATTATTATGCTCTTAAGAGTAATTTCATTGCTTCCCTAAATGTTGAAAGTTACCTAGGTGTTTTTTGGTTTTTTTTTTTTTAAGCAATAAAGATGCAGTGGTATTTAATTTCCAATAGTTTTGAAGTAGAATATATTCTATATTTGCTGTCTTCCATTGCAGATTAGATTATTTTTCAAGGTTCCTTTTCTTCAAGATTCTGTGTTGTCCTTTAGATTCAGAATTGTGGGCCATAGCTTATTTTGATAATGATAAAATTTGCTGTTTTAGAGTTCGATATTTGTTCATTCTGATGACATTTATTGAACCACTCTTCTATCCTAGGTGCTGGGCTTGCACCTAAGAATACAGAAATATTTTTGTTCTATTCCCTGCTCTCAAGGCATTTAGAGAGGAAACAGAATAATAAGGACAACATGATTTTACAAGTGCTATGATAGAGGCTTCTATGGGATACAGTGAGGACAAAGGATTTTATTGTAAAGGAGAATGTGTCTGGAAAGATTTAAGAAGGCCATGATTCTTACGCTAATTCCTTAGCAAAAATCTGTGGTACAGATTTTTTGATAGACTCATATGGAAAGAGATCGGTCTTCCAGGCAGAGGAAACCATAAAAACACAGGCATTAAAGAGCCCTGCATGGTGGCTCCTTTTCACTCAAGCATAGAGGGCAAGAGTGTGTGTATGTCTTGGGGGCTAGACAGGTAGAGAGTGGCCAGATGAGGAAGGACTTTATATGCCACAGTAGGGAGCCCTGTAGGTCCCTGGGTGGTGCAAATGGTTTTGCACTAGACTAACCTAAAGGTTTGTGGTTCAAACCCACCTGGTGGTGCCACAGAAGAAAGGCCTGGCATTCTGCTTCTGTAGATTACAGCCATGCCAAGAAGAGTTTAAGATACTGAGCTGTTTTTCCTCTGAAAAATGAAACATCTCTATGAACTTTAACTGAAAACTATCCAGTTTTGTTTCAAACTATTTCAAAATATTGAGAGCTGGATTCCAAATTTAATTAGAGAGGTTTTGTGTCTGTAAATCCACAGTATATTGAATTTACATATATCCAACAAAGACATGTTCAGGTTAGGCATTTGAGAGTACATTTAAAGAACTCATGAAATAGTCAATTGATTAATTCTCTTCAGCACAAATAGAATGTCTTAGAAAGATATCAACGACTAACAGAATGGATAGACAGCTGGGAGAATGCTTTAGAAAGATATCAACAACTAACGGAATGGATAGATAGCCAGGAGAATGCCTTGGAAAGATATCAACAACTGACAGAATGGATAGACAGCCAGGAGAGCCTATAGAAAGAGGTAGGCATAGCCACCTTAGAGGCCTGAGAAGCAAAAACTGCCGGAATGATCTCTTCGCTGGTGCAGTTGGGCCAGGACCCTGCTGCTAGAATGAGTCACTAAACTGCTTTGTCTGTTTATTACTCTAGTCAAGATTCAAAATGCAGGGGTAGGGTTTTCAACCTAACTTAATTCATTTGCCTGTCCCAGAGTGTACTAGAGTGGTGAAAAAAGGGGCTGTACACAAGGACCCTCCAGGAACCTTTCCTCTTCATGGTGACAGGGCAAGTGCCCGGATTTATTGTCTCCACATTCCTCAAAAAAAAAAAAAAAGATGCTCTGTGGACAAAAATACACGTATTCAATAAGCAGAAAAATAAAAAAACACTGAAATCTCTAATCTCCTGTCTCAGAGGACTGGAAGCTGCCCATAGAAAACAATATCATTAGAATTTCTAAGCACAGAGGTCTAAAGACATTACCTTAATTTGTCATTAGTCAAAAATTGTCCACGGACAAATGTGTAAAATCTTACTTTTGTGAAACTTCTGTTCATCTTTCTGCTTCATGAGGTATAAAACCTTTTCACTTTCCAAAAAACATAAACATTCTAAATTGGAGATTGTTCAGGTACTATTATTGAGTTCTACCAATGTCATTTCCTCACAGATGCACATTTGCCTTTCTCACTTTCCACTCTGAATAGCTCCTGTGAGAGGCAGGTTTTCGCTAGCACAGGATTGTGCTGGCAGCACCTCCCCGACTCTGCCATATACCACAGGAGTATTGTCTGTGAGCTTTGGTGGCAGACACATATTACTTCACTGCTTCTGAGTTGATAGCTCAGAACCTTGTTACATGAAAGTCATTGACTCCTGTTTGAGGAAGTAGGTTGGTTAGATGGTATTTTAGGGCCCTTTATAGAGTAAAACTTTTGCAAAGAGAATTACGTATTTAAATTATCTTCACTTACCAATTCAAGTGTTGGATTAGTCTTGCGACAGTGATCGGTTGGTGAAGCTGAAATTCTGGCAAAAATCTAATTCTTTTGCAAGTTGTTATTAACGAGTAACAGTTCTACAAAAAGGAGAGAATGCCATGAGTTATTCTAATGGCTTCATTCTGTAGTTGAAATATTTGAGAGGATTATATTGTTCAATGCATTTGTCATTGATTGAATAATTTTCATGAAGATTAGTCATTTCTATAAAAAACATACAAGAATCTCTTGGATTTTTTATTTTAAATTTTCTACATTCATTTTTTTAATTCATTTTCATTATTTTTTGATACTGAGTTAAATTACTTTCATAGATTGATCCTGAATTTTGAAATTAGAAAATCATAAGGTGGAATTTTTACATTCATATTTTAACTGACATCTAATAAGCTGTACCTTTAAGATAGCACCAGTGTTTTTTAGTTAAGATGTAAAAAGCAGCATAAAGATTTTTTTGGTTTGTTTTTTGGTTATTTCCAAACAGTGATGTCCTTTAGGAATATATCTGTGGAAACCATAGGAAGTCTAAATTTCACAAGTAATTTGTTGTAGCCAGCAGGGAAAGAATTAAAAGTACATACTGTAGAAGACAGAACAGTCATAGCCCCAATCAGCCTTGCTGTAGCTCTGTATGTAATCTATTAACCTGCCTTTTGAAAAAGATGAATTATGGGGGCCTAAGTTGATACCATTAGGGTCCTCTGCCATTGCAGAACAGTAAAGACAAAAGCACTCACCATCTTAATATTCACAGGACTGTGCTAAAGAATAATGATTTAAGATCAAGACAAGAGTTAACTGCCCACCTCACCAACCAGTGGCCTTCCCCAGGAGCTCTGGATGTCAATGCTGTTGCCTTGGATACGTTGCTTTACCGAAAACACAATAAACAGTGGTATGAGTAAGTGTAACACTTTTTTTTTCCAACTAATTAACAAATTTAGCACCGAAACCAAATAGCTATTCACTTTGGTTTCTCAGTTATTCTTTTTAAATTCATTATTAGTTTAGGATAAAGATAGGATTTAGGACTACTTTGGCTTGGTAAGGTTAGATTAAGGCAGTGAACATGTTAATGTTTTAGAGCCAAGGCACCCTGGGGAAGTAAAATATCTGAGAAGTTGTTATGTAGTAATGTACCAGCTACCCAGTTCTCACTGTCATTAGCCAATCCTTCAGTTAAATCATTGAGCTTGTGTTTAATGAGCTGTTTCTGAATTCTACCTTTGGTGTTGTGTTTGCTTTAGGATTAATTTTCCTACTACTTAGAAAATGAAATTCCATCTCCTGAAAGGATGGAAAGATACTTGTTCTTAATGAGTCTGGAAGAGTTTTGCTCATTTTCAGTAGATCTAGTTTTCAGAAGCTGTACAAGATATGATCATTCCACCTATGAGCCATAGATCCTTTTTCTATTTCCTTCTCCAAATGTTCAGGACTACTTCATTTAGTCATAGTGTTCTAATGTTGAGAGAGCTGCAAAATCTTAGGCTGTGTTCCTTTAGGTAATCTTCATTTTAGAACTTGCTTAATGTATTACCTTCTTTTGGCTTTTAGTCACTTTAACATGTTAGTCATTTTTTTCATTATCTTTTCTATTGTTCTTCTGTTAATTTTCTGATTATCCCCACTTTCTCTCCCTGCCATCCGCTTCTATTCTTTCTTCTCTTTCCTCTCTCTTCCCTCTTTATTCTTTCTTTCCTCTCTTCGCTTCTTTCCTTCATTTTGTTTCTTTCCCTACTCTTCTTTTAGAGTCCATGTTTTTAAATGTCACTCATAGAAGCTGTGCTTCTTAGGGTACCCTTCACTAGGTAATTAATAGCCAGACATTTCTACAAGGAATGTTTTAGCACAGACATAACTGCCACCTGCTTCACTCTATGATTTTTTTCAATTGTCTAAGACAGAACTCAAATTTGTCATTATTCCAGGCCTTTTGTTATTAAGAGAATTGCTAGGAACTTTAATGCATTTGTCTTGTTTTATTGATGTTGGAGATAAGTAGGAAAAAAAGAGCAGATATTTACAGAATAAATCAGTAGAACCCTCTTCAACATCTACTAAACCAAGCTTCTTAGTATGATTCAGGGTGTTGACTTTAGGTCTTTTGTGGATTGGGATCTAGTTCCTTTATATACCTTTATCAAAGTTATGAATAACTACAGTGTATCTTACTATTCTAGTATATAATTTTACCTTTCTGTGCCATATTTATTTTAATAGATGAATATTATTTTATTTGTATTTTTAATTTATGATTGAAAATTTGAATTTATAGAAATAATTGGAGCATGTACCATCTCTATATATAACATATGACATGCTCCTGCTTTTTTAACTGCAAAAATGTCATAACATTAAATCTTGGTAAGTTAAGAAACTATGCCTTTTTATCCCAGTTTCCACATCACCACTTTAAAGTAGTGGAAAAGTAAAATATTTTTTTGCCAAAAGGCATGTACTCCTGCCTGCCTGTGGAGTTACCTGTTGCGGAGTCAAAGAGTGGAAGATTTATTTCTAGTTTATCTTAATGTTGTAATAGCAAATAATTTTTACAAAGTATTATAACAGTACAGTGGAAACCCTGGTGGCATAGTGGTTAAGAGCTACGGCTATTAACCAAAAGGTCAGCAGTTCAGATCCACCGGGTGCTCCTTGGAAACTCTATGGGGCAGTTCTACTCTGTCCTCTAGGGTTGCTATGAGTTGGAATTGACTTGACGGCAATGGGTTTTGTTTTTTTTAAAATTCCCTCGTGGCACAGTGGTTAAGCACTCAGCTGCTAACGGAAAGGTCACTGGTTTGAACGCACTGGCTGCTCCGTGGGAGAAAGATGCGGCAGTCTGCTTCCGTAAAGATTTACAGCCTTGGAAAGCCTTTGGGGCAGTTCTACTCTGTTCTGTAGGATCGCTGTGAGTTGGAATGACTGCGGGGCAGTGGGTTTGGTTTTTTGGTTTGGTATGATAATAACAGAAAAAGTAATTGCAATCTCAAAAAAGAAGGCAGTGAAACTTTCTATTCATGTTTTACATGGATCCAGGTTTTATACTTCTTGACTGAGTTACTCCATTAGCTTAAGAAGGGACAACCCTTTCTTTCCAGCCACATCCTGTATCTGACCTGTCCTTAGAAGTTGGTATTGCTGTTAGATGGCCCTGTTGCCAAATTGATATCCCTGAACAAAAAAGCATGCAGCTCCAGTGTAGTACAGAGAGCACAGAGGTTAAAGTCAGGACTTGTAATAACCTCCGCTACTTCCTTGCTGTGTAACACTGAACAGCACTTTTTCTCTTTGATCGGTTTGCATACATGTATTGACTCATAGCGACTCTATAGGACAGAGTAGAACTGCCCCATAGGGTTTCTAAGGAGCACCTGGTGGACTGCTGATGTTTTGGTTAGCAGCCAAGCTCTCAACCACTGAGCCACCAGGGCTCCAATGCCTGTCTAACAAAATTATAAGGATCAAATGAGGTAATTGCCTGGCACTTCACAGCTGCTTGGTAAATCTTTATTTATACTCTATATAGTCTTTTTTTGTTCATATAGTCCTGTATCTTCCAGATTTGGCAAGTATCCCATCCAAAGTTCTAAGCTCTATATTCTGAACCTTATATAAAATTAAAATGACCAGCAAATCCCCAACTGTTCTAAATAAAATAACCCCAACTTTCTCATGTAGAAATGGAGGCTTTAGATTTTCAGAACAGAGGAATATTCTATAAATCATGTTTGAAACAAATCATACCTTTTCATGGAGATCCAGTTTTTGCTGTCCTCAAATTTATAATATAAGCCAAGGCTCCTGAACTGCTTGATCATTAATTCCTTTTAATTCGACCAATGTCTTCAATATGTTCAACAGAAACCTTACATATGTTCAACAGAAACCTTACAAATTATGAGGAAGGTGGCCAAAACCTATTTAATAAGGATCATTATCTCTCTTGATAGTCTGGAGAGAGAGAAACTAGCCCTAAAACTAGTCACAGCTTTAATACTAGTAGATTTTTCCTGCTAAAAATATGGCATTTCTATAGCTATTTATCTAGAATCTCTATGACTTCTTTCACACACAACTTAGAGAAGAAAGAGAGTATGCTATTTGGTTTATTTAATGAATTTGTTGGTCTTGTTGATATTTCTTAAATTGAGCCATTACCTATTTTGGCTAGGTTATCACCTACTCATGGTAGGATACCTCTTAAAATAGAAGATTTTTAATTTACTTCCGTTTACTATATTGTTTATGAAGCTTTAAAAATATGATTTCTAGTTCATTTCTGGATTACTTAGACCTGACAAGATTAGCTATGCTGGTTTTTATATCTTTTCAGTCATTTCAAACATGGGAATATCATGTTTAAAAATTGTTAAAGCATTGTAGGCTTATTGCAAAAACTCAACAATAAATAATTCTATAAAGGACTTTCCTTTAAATTGAGTAATTGTTCCTTTAAATACATAATTAAGTAGTAAGTTTTCAAATTAAATAGTAATTGTTTCCCTTAGAGTAATTGTTTGCTCTTTTGTTTCCAATAAATTCCGTGTTACTGTCTTTATATATAGTCTGTTACATAATCTTGTTAGATTATCAGCTATATAACCTTGTTAGATTACTGCCTAATTCACACATTCTTATCTCAAAAGATTATATTAATTGTCATCATATTTATATTTTCTACTTAAAGCTTTTTTTATTTTTTATTTTTTGTTGTACTTTTTAAGTGAAGGTTTACAGAACAAATACTTCTCATTAAACAGTCAGTACACATACTGTTTTATGACACTGGTTAACAACCCCACGACATGTCAACACTCTCCCTTCTCAACCTTGGGTGACCTTTTTTTTTTCCTTTGTTGAAAATACACATAGCCAAAGACACACCATTTCAGAAATTTCTACAATGTACAATTCAGTGACATCGATTACGTTCTTCCAGTTGTGCTGCTATTCTCACTATCCTTTTCCAAATGATTCTATCACCATTATCTTCAATTCACTGCCTCCTAGGCTCCCATCAAACCTTTTGAGTTGCTGTTGTCAGTTTGATCCCACATAGATAATTTTTTTTTTTTGTACCTTAGATGAAGGTTT